CAGTCAGGGATATTCAGGTCTGGCAAGACATTTTGGCTATCAAATTGTTATCTCATACGTCATAGTGAGAATGACGTAATCATGACGTACCTTGAGGTCCTGTCCGAGCTGGAAGACTTCCGGATCGTCGATGTTTCCGACCCGCAGCCTGTTGTTGTGCCTGTAGAGCAGGAAGATGGCGCCGAGTAGGAGGAGAATCAGCCCGACTGCCGACAGACTAACGGCCAGGAGGACGGTCTGGGAGCCTGAGGGGTCTAAAAAAAAGAGGTAGCCATTTAGTATTGAATTTGTATTGGTTATGTTTTTATGTATTTTCATTTTCCTCCGTGAGTGGAATGAAATTACTCACCCGAACACCCGTCGCCAGAGCAGACGCAGCCCAGGGTCCGGTTGCAGGTCTCCTGGTCTGTACAGTTGCAGACCTGGCCACACAGCTCGCCCCAATAATTGTTCTGGCAACCTGAAACGGGCCAAGTAGTTTACATTTGATATCTTTCTTGGGTACCTGGTTTGATTGATAAGAATATCATCATCAATGACCAAATTAGTATCATGTAGCTCCCTTTAAAGGAAATACTAGTATACAAAGTCATTATCAGAAACAGTACCCGCTATTCGTATGACCACCTCATCTGTGTAATTGTCTCCACCTGCACTCTCTGCCACACAGGTCACGTGACCCTCGTACACAGGCAGCAGGGAGCGGATGTGAAGAACAGAAGAGCTGCAAACGGAGGAAAGATCAGAGTTATAGTCTGCTAATACTAAGGTACATATTCGGTGATGCCCTCGTTGCGAGAATCTTACCATCATTCATTTTCATTGACCTTACTGTCACGTGACTTTGGTGATGAGTCATTCTGATTGAAGAAGGCTGGAGTGACAGACAGACTTGTGCTGAGTGAAAACAAAGGTTTGGTGTATTTTTGTGTCATATGGGAACAGGGGCAACTATTCAGGTTGATGAAGGTTTTTTTATGATTACTAGTATCTTGTACAGGGATTGGAATATTGAATAAAAACCTGAGAATCAGTTATAAAATTAAAAAAAAACATGACTAAACCTCCCATGGTATTTTACTGTAATGCTGGCTGTAATCATAGCTTCAGGGTTTGCGATTCGATGAACATAAGCCTCACTTGGTATCGCTTGTTTCGGTCAACGGACTTCGGTTGACAGGCGCGCCGTTGAGGAACCAGTTGAAGTTGTTGACACGGAAATTGTAGGCCGTGCACGTGAGCTGCAGTTCCTGTCCGAACCGCAAGTCTTTCAGCTCGCTGTCTGAAGGACTGATGCGCACTTCTGGGTGAACTGTGAGAAAGAAGAGCAGATGAAGTTGAGCGGGTAAGTGCTAGAATACAGTTGTAATTGGACATGCATATGTTCGTAATCGTGCTCTATAATGCTGCTTTTGGTAATTTCCAAACACATAATGCGATGGCAAGGTAGTATGAAAAAAGGTCAAACAATGGCGAATGGGATTTGCTTGGAAAATTTGACACTGCCTTGCAATCTTAGGATCTGCTTGGAGATCTAACAGTTTCTAGTAGAACTGCTGTGACCCACCTGTGGTGCAGTTCCTTCCTGTCCAGCCAGGGGCGCACCTGCACGCTCCGTTGAAGCTGTGACACGCGGCCCCGTTATAACACTGGCAGCGCTCCGCACAGAACCGTCCGAACCGTCCGATGGGACAGGCTGGGGAAAGAGGCAATGGTTTGATTGCAAAGTAATGTGTGATGAAGTTTACAGTTCTCCCAACGCCACCACATATTTTCAACAGGAATTCGCATCGAAGATAGCAGATTTCACCCCTTGTGTTCTTGTTACGCCATTAACTGTTAAAGTACGCATCTAACAATATTGCCTGGTTACATTGGGTGTCTTTGTTTAGATTTTAAACACTGTGATTCTGTATCTGTATATCCGAGCACACGAGCTTCGAAGGCACGCGGCGCGGCGGCAGCTAGCTACATCACACCGATCGACTTGTTACACCTAACCCTTGAACTTCTAACTCTAGACATTGTTTAAAGCTATCTAGTGACAATGCCCCTACTGTACAATGAGTTCCACTCTGCGATAGTTCTAGGAAAGAATGAATTCTTGAACACCTTAATCCTCGGCCGATAACTCTGGTACTTGAAGGCCTGTATCTGTGATTGAGGGGCCAGCGGAAGCAACACCTCACTTGTATTTGCGTGAAGTAAAACAGATATTCCTACCCTTTACTATGACCTCGGTGGGGAAAATTTGCCCGTTGATCGCACAGCGAATCTCATTTTGTGCGAAATTCTCCACTCCGACCTGGAGGTGAAAAAAATGAATTTATAGGATCATCATTATCCGTTGGTTTACAGTCAACATTGAATACATTTTTTTACTTTGAAATATAATTGCGTGGCCGCATTATAATTTCCCTTCGTTGTACATCGCATCGGACAGAAGACGGTGTACTCCCAGGGTGTAGACTAAATAGTCTTTCGAGACTGGACTGCCAATAATGATATCGTAAATATAAGTAATGCTAAGTGACAGAACGTTATAGATATGCTGACCAAAGTGCCTTGAATGAGAAGTGCGAACACCAACCATCACTGGAGACGGGGGTCGGTACAAACTTCTAGGTTTCTTCGAGCAAAGGATCATAGAAACAAGAGAACTCTTGATAAATTTGCCTGAAGTTTTAACTAAAAACTGCACTCACCTTTACGTTCAGAAATGTGTACTTCATAATCGCCACGTTTTCCTCCCAAATCCCGTAATAGTAGAAGGGAATCCACGGCCAATCGTCAAGGGGGAAGTTCCTGCATGCGGAAACACATTTTGGTTTTAAATTCAAAATTTTATCGATCGCCATCAGCAGCAACTAAATTCGGTTACTTGAATTAGTCCATAGACTTGGTCTCACCTCTTTACTGTAGACGACCCAAAACAGTCAACTCTCTGTGTTTATATCTTAATTGTATTTTTTGTTGTGTGGCGTTGTTGAAATAAGTTTAAAACTTGAGTGCAGCGCCACACTGTCCTTGTTATTGTTTTGTTTTGTGTTTATAAATGATTAAAAAAACTGCTTTACTAGCGCTACTGGTCACATTTTAAACGCGAGAAAGTTCGCTGATCTAACCTGTCGTCGCTGTTTACATACGGCTCAGCAAAGGCCAATATCTCGCTGTGGGTTGGCCAACATGAGTAGTCCATATCCGGAGTCAGGTCAAAGTCTAGAACATTCTCCTGAATTGCCAGGTAGAACTCCAAAATACCTGAATAATAGCAAAGCAGAACAGCAGCAGTGTTGTAACTACATTGTCGCGAAGTTTACACATATTAATGGATTGACTAATATGTAATATAGATGACTAAATAAAACAGTGACAATTGTACTTTATATGATTGTGTACACGTACAAAGTTTATGCAAAAGACAGATTTACATGTCAACCAAATTGAACAGGTTCACAAGTGCATAGGATACAATAAAGTCACAGCTAAATACGTAAATTTAAAATGCAGCAGTGAACAATCAAGAATCAAGACTCTCAGTCCAAATATTATTGGCGACAGGACACATATTGACTTATGCCAACCCCTACATGCTACACATATGGATATATACTAAAGACTGTATGGATATTACAAACTCCTCCAACGATTGTGTTGATACCTATCTCATACTAGCCACCCACTTTTGTATTAGGTTAGCCTTATAAAAATGTAGTTGATATGTACTTACTTAAGTTAGTAGATGCCATACTTTATACCCTGTTCAACTGTTCTTATTTCTACTGTGCTGCAGTACCACTCACCGCCGTCAGTGGTGTACCCGTACGGCCACACATTGCTGTCGTCGAATGCGAAATATCCATCAATGCTGATTCGCACGAACTCCTGAATAAATAGAGCAATTGCTACGTAAGTGTCTTGAGTTTCAGAAGCTTTGGGTGTTCAATATGCTATATGAATAATAATTACAATACTTATTTCCCCTCACATGCTATTAGGAAGGGTACTTATAGTTATACCAGCTGTACGATTCAGATTCAGGAACACAAACTTTTACCAGCAGTTATAACTGGTTTGACCTCTACCGGCAAACTGTTGCATCGTTTGTATCGTCTAATAGACATGATTTCTACGAAGTAAAAGATTTTTTTTATTCCAACATGTAATCACCAGACGTGGTGACGGCACACTCAAGTTTTGTCAACTTACTTTATGCTGCCACCAACACAGGGGACAAATACATGACAGGACGATACTCATTTTCACCTGAGCGAAGTGAGAGTTTGCTCCGCAGTCATTGTCAACATTTCACAAATTCAATTTGACGAAAGTGTGCCTTAAAATGTAATATTTATTACCGCAACTGTTTCCAGGTCGAACTCTTCCTCTGTTTGTGGGACGTATGTGTTTTCGTCGAAGACTGGGTCCTCTTCTGCATATGGGAAGAAGAGCTCAGCTAAATCCTCAGAAAAATATCAAAACAAAATTCTGTACCTGCCATAAAATTACACCTTCTTAATGTTTGATATGTCTAAGACTCTGGGCTGGTGCGCCAAACGATTGCCTGCACCTTCTCGATCGCATACAAAAGAGAATTTGCGTGGCCGTAGGCTATTCTCTGGCCTCCAAGTTAGACCCCCTTTCCCATAGACGAAATGTTGCCTCTCTATCCCTCTTTTACAGATATTTTCATGGTCATTGCTCTGCAGAACCCACCCAACTAGTTCCACCACTCAGAACTTCTAAGCGTCCCACTAGGTTCTCTACTAGCTCACACAACTTCACCGTCCAAATTCCTTGTTCGACATATTTTTACAGTGACAGTTTCTTTCCCCGTACAGCCAAGCTTTGGAATTCCCTCTCTGACAAGTGTTTCCCACCAACGTACAATCTACAGGCTTTCAAATCAAACGTTCACCGACATCTCTTGACATAGCCATGTTTCTCTCATCTTTCTAGTTCAATGCCGAGAAGTGGTCGTAAGGCCTTGAATTGAACCAGTCCGTTAAAAAAAAGACTCACCATTTTCTCTGGTAGTGTAAGTCAGGTAGAATTCGTACCACTCCACCCACTCAGGCGCGCTCGGGCTGCGTGTGAAGACCACGTGCAGCTGGTGTCCCGTACTGGCCGCAGACAGGTGGTACCGGGCTACACGGCCTGGAGCGCAGAGTTAAAAGGAAAAAAAACTACGGCTCTCAGTGGCCAATATGAGATGTTGTCACATCGGCGCACCAAATCCGAAAGGTGTTTTTGGCACCCTGGCAGACAGATTAGCCTAAGAGGCTCGGTGGGCGTCACTCCACCGTATTGGTTGGGAAGTCGTGTAAAGTGCCTTTCCCAAGGGCAAAACGTCGAGCCACGGTGAGTATCGAACCCGGGACCTCTCGGTTCCGAGTCCAACGCTCTAACCGTTGCGCCACCGACGCCACGATAAAAGGAAAACTAGAGAAGTAACATTTGCATACCAAATGCATAATGTTTACCTTCGGACATGGTCTGCTCTGTTAATTCTTACTCAAACACATTCACATACATGTACTACTATTATATGGTGACAGGAGCAGAGCAGACTATGAAATTGCAACATTATGTAACCCAACACCAGTCACCATGGTGACAGACGTCAACAAATCATGTCATTGGTCAGGTCAGAGGTAACTGGAGAAGAAGAAGAGAAAGAAACGTAACAAAAACAATATGTTTCCTTCGGTAACCTTAACAAGAACTTTAGCAAGCGCTCTCTCTACATTTTCTGTTTAAGAAATGGTTCTATTCGTCGTTAAAACAGCTACGGAACAGAAGCAAACACAGAAACAGAAACATCTAAAACAAAAATACTAAGCTGTAAAACTGTACAAAGATTATTATTATTTGTACCTCTAGAAACACGACAGAACGTATCGATGACCCTGCTGTTGGCTGATCCTCCGTCGTAAAAAGTCAGAACCTCCGTGGTGCAGCCGTCAGAACCGCGCTCGAAATATCCGCGGTCAAAATTGATCTGGAAGGGAGAAGAGACAATGTTAAGGTTAGGTCTAAGCGTTGGTCGTGGTTCCTTTTTTTACCACATGATTTGTGGATGGACTGAATCAAACATAACACATGACTGTCACCTTTCACTACGTCAACCTGGAGACAGGACTCATGCCCGTAGCCGGGAGGGGGGGGGTCTACAAGCTCAAAGGTCCACTTTTTGGTCCACTTTCTATCTAAAGGTCTCTTTAAATGGACTGATTCGTATCATCAGCGGACCTGGAATCGTATAAAAACTGCCTACTTTGTCATTGAATAAACAAGTTATCTCTGTTTTTTTTCCCTCTGAAAACCTCTCAAAACGCAGGAAATGCCATTTCAGAAGGTTCCTTTTTTTTTCAAAATTTCCAGGGGGGCATGCCCCCGGACCCCCCCTAGGAACCTCGCGCCTTCGACGCTCGAGGTCCCCTCAAGCAGTGGGAACGAACCCCCCCCCCCCATTCAAAATCCTGGCTACGGGCATGGGACTGTAAGGTTTGAACCACTTACACCGGGCAGGACCCATGCTCTTTTCTACAAGCCACGGTGGTGCTTGAAATCTCAAACATTTACGTTATAAATATTATAAGCTTAGGACATAAAAGACCAATTTACCAAGATGATCCTGTTACGAGCAGTAGTGATGTCCCACTCGCAGTTGTTTGACGTCACATCCGTTTCACTCCTTATATGGCCTCGCTTTCCGGTTAGCTGATGAGTACATCCTAATGAGGCAAATGAACGTGCACTTACATACGTACATACATATATACATATACACACGTACATACATACATACATACATACATACATACATACATACATACTGTACATACATACATACTCATAAAGCCCTTAGTAATAGATTTAAGTATAGTTGGACTGCTTTGGTAATCCTGCAACATTTTCAAGGCCATAGAGGCAGTGAGTTGTTTTAATTCACTGTGGTTAGGGCATGGTATTGTAAGGTGGAGCCCATCCTCTCCTTCCAGTGCCTATTTACCTTTTACCCAACTGAAGTACTTGACAAAGAACATGTACGTTCGTAATGCCCACTCACCTCCAAGTGTAGCACCGCAGTTCTGGAGGCAGAAGAGGAGAAATACTCCAACATAAACACCCAAGGTCACGGTCATCTTATAAGAACACGTCTTCCAGACTTTTCCTAAAATGTGAAATGAGTTAAAGAAAGAAAATTTACGTCCCAAACAGACCGTGCAAACAGCACAAATACAGTCTGCCCACCCGAGAATGAGCTCAGTAACAGTTAGTAGTAGCGGGGAACCCCCGGCCAAACACCGCAGCCAGTGTAAATAAACACTCATTGTTCTACATACACGTCATAGCCTGGTTACCTACCACCAGGCACAGGTAACCTGAGATCGGACCAGGTGAGTTACAGGTAATGAACAGGTGTGAAGGTGGCCAGAAAAAACAATAGTAACAGAAAAACATCAATAGAACACAAGAATATGACACTAACAGCGTGCCATCAAAACCATAGGCAGCAAAAGAGAGAGAAAGAAAGGGAACAAGAGAGAGTTGCTGCAGCTTAGATTATGTTCTACGTGCCATTGTTAAGCTTAATAATACAGTTTAACAGTATTAAAAGAACGGCTTTCTACCCTAAACCAAGTATAACACATACGCACGTTTGAAAATGTACACTCCACAAGACTTACCTTACGTACAGGCGTGCTAAAGTAACAGGTGTGTTGAAGATCCTAGTCTACCACTGAAGACACTCAATCTACTTTGAAATAAAATATAAAAAGCGCACAATTAACGGTTATGGACAAACAGGTGGAGTACTGTTATAGTCTGTGGCAGGAGAAAAGGACTCACATAAGAACGCACCAGATGTGACCAGCTTAAGTCTGTTGTGAACGGCAGGTGACGCTATATATATATAGCTATTAAATAGTTACACATTCGGACAAGGTCCAGCCGACGTACATATAGCCTCCACTGCAGACTCCATTGGTCGTGTATTTTTTTTGTTTGTTTACGTACTATTTTGAATATTCTCTTTCAAGTAAGTACGATTTTTTGGTATAAAGAACTACCCAGTTCCTGTTAGCATCCAGAACCTGAGGAGCTAGCAATCATTATATGATATCCCAAACCAGTATCTATCCGTCAGAAAAGATGAGAACAAAGCCCTCCGTGGTGTCTGGAGCCGAGGCTAGATCGATAAGACCGGGGTTCAGTGTTGCTGTTGACTCGACAGACAGCGTCAAACAGCGCCGGTTCATATTTCCTCCCCACAAGACTTCAGTCAACATTCATTTCATAAACTCCCCCCTTATCAATCATCAAGTACTGTAACATGAGTGGAGTGCAGACACTTTTAAATACTTCTTTGCAAATATTTTTCATTTCGTGGCCAATATTTGCCTCCCCCACAAGACTTCAGTCAATATTCATTTTATCAACTATCGCTTGATCAGCCATCAAGTACTTGGACATTCTTTTGTGGGTTACGGGCACGCCGAAGTACCACCGGTACATTTTAAAGATGTTCACAATTTCCAATAGCAATCACAGAGACATTGTTGTAGTCCCCATGCAGACCCTCATGCACACTCTGCCGGTGACGTCATGAAAGTACTTGTTGGGAATCCCCCATTGTTCACCGCCCCACTTCCTGGTGCTATTTGTTATATTGTTGAGGTCCCGGGTTCAAATCCTCCCCGGTGTCACTGATCTTGTGCCCTTTGGAAAGGCTCTTTACACGAATTTCCTCACTTCGCTCAGGTGTAAATGAGTACTTAGCGTCGGCTAGGGACGTCCCTCGGATAGGACGTTAAATGGAGGTCCCGTGTTTGGGAAGAGGGGAAGAGCCACACCCCATTTTATCTTCATAAAGCAAAATAAAGATTAAGGGGGAAATAATGAATCGAACCTGACTTCTATAGACCGCAGAACGGTATTTCTCTTTTGTGTTGGTGATACATGTACTGTATATCTATCTCTGTACACATGAACACCCTGCTGCACACGTGTTCAGTTGGGTTGAGTTTTATTCAGATACAAAATCAACTACATGACTTGACTTTATTGGGATCCACATTTAGCTTACAACAAGGAGTCCATTGTTCCTCTATACATAAAAATAAGTTAAATCAAATTGAAAGACATACAGTTATATACAAAAGGTACTGGAAAAAATTCAGTAACTGTAGTTGAATACATTTGGCAAATACTGAAATAGTAGGCAAGCTTGGCAAAATTGTAGTCTGTTTACTGAACATACTTACTCACTTTACTCACTTTTAGGAACCTTTGAAAATCGCCATCAGGCGACATGTGTTTTCCTGGATAAATAAATAACCACACTTTACGTAAAAAAATGACCGTGAAATCTTGTAGTAGGCAATACCCCCCCCCCCGGATATTGCACAGTCCTGTGCAGCCATCAGCTATATCCAGGATGACGTCACTTTAGCCTTGTCTTTGCGTCCGATTTGGTCTCATACCGGAGTTTCTCGTGTCCCTATCGCTGCCACAGGTGTGCTGAAGTAGAAAAAGCCCTGACGATGACGAAGAAAATTACAGTAAATATGACATTCAACTCATAAAAGTTTATCACAGGGGTCGACAGATTTTAACACCTCAAATCTTTCATTCTGTCGTCCTCTAACTTAGTTCAGTGCACACTGCCTAGTGTTTGTTTGTTTGTTTGTTTTTATTGGGATCTCTATTATTATTATCTTACATTGTCTTGTATCTTGAGCCATTGAGTCTTGAGTCGTTGACATTATACTTCCTGGAGTTCAGACAACACAACATAATCATAGTGGTGTCTTGGCCTTGCACTGAGCAAGACTTCGCTAGAAATTAAACTAGTCTAAGACTCAACTTTGTGTAAATTCATAACAAAACCCAATACAAGCTCAGGATCTCACCCTGAGCATAGGGACGTAATGCATTAGCTTAAACACGTTAAGAAACAGAAATATCTCACGTTGGGATCCGCCACCAGAAGTTTCCTGACAGTTGTGGCGTCCGGCCTGGTCTTCTCGTTAAACTTCCAGCACTTCAGCATCAGCTGGTATCTGGACGGGAACAGCGAACAGGAGGAAAATTATTAGTTATCCAGACTCGCGGCCTCGACGGGCTTTCCCGAGTAGGACTTTACAGAACCATTGGCCTTTCTCTGGTATTCCTTTCGTCCTCACTTCAGAGGTCAAAACCGTCTGCCGACGTGTGTTTGACTTACGTTTACAAAATTTCTCCTGTCTCGTTCAACCAACTCAGATGAGCTTTGAAGAAATTTTTACTCTTGTATTGAATGAGTAGTTTCTCTCACCTCTCTTCTGTACACAGCTGAGGCCTGGGGAGTCTGAAGTGGTTTTGCAGAGCATCATATATTCTGTCTGCCCCCTCCATCCCAGGGTACGGCGTGCGGCCCAGCTGCGCCACTTCCCACAACAGAACCCCGAAGGACCAGCTAGAAATGCATATTTCATAGTGCTTCAGATGGGAAAGAGTTGACAGTTCCAGTAAGACAATGAAATTTATTTACAATGACAATGAACTGTAAGACGTTAGTGTCTAACGGCAATGTTGAAAATACTCACACGTCGCTCTTGTGAGTGAACCTAGCCTCGTTCTTCAGGCCCTCCGGCGCCATCCATTTCAGCGGCAGCAGGTCGCGGCCCTGGAGAGACATGGAAGGACAGTTTTATAAAAAGCCGGCTGTTACAAGACTACAGGATCTGCAGTTGAGTGGAATCTGTCTCACCTATTTTCTCCTACGTCCCTATACCGTGTCCTGCCGATGGTACCCCACAGCGTACATGCCGATGGTACCCCACAGCGTACATCTCCCGGGACCAACCCTGTCCTGTCGATGGTACCCCACAGCGTACATGTCCCGGGACCTACCCTGTCCTGCTGACAGTACCCCACAGCGTACATGTCCCGGGACCTACCCTGTCCTGCCGACGGTACCCCACAGCGTACATGTCCCGGGACCTACCCTGTCCTGCCGATGGTACCCCACAGCGTACATGTCCCGGGACCTACCCTGTCCTGCCGATGGTACCCCACAGCGTACATGTCCCGGGACCTACCCTGTCCTGCCGATGGTACCCCACAGCGTACATGTCCCGGGACCTACCCTGTCCTGCCGATGGTACCCCACAGCGTACATGTCCCGTGCCAGCCCGAAGTCCGCGATCTTGGCGGTTCCCTTCCCACAGATCAGGATGTTCCGGGCCGCGATGTCTCGGTGAACCAGCTGGACACAGGCAAAGATAAGCAGTTCAGTTACCAAATATGTTTATCTTATCAGCTTTTGACTTTGATTACCTAAAAGACAATCTTAAACTCAGAAAGTAAACCCCTTGATTTCCGTGGTGGTAAAAATCACAAAGTATTACGTCTTGGGCAGGGAATCGGAAGGGAAAGATTGAGGAACAGTTTTTAAAGATTTCCTCACCCTCCTGGTCGCCAGGTGCTCCAGTCCGGAGCAGACCTCCACCATCATGTTCTCGAAGATGTGCCGTTTGTTGACCAGAACGGTCCTGTTGAGTTTGGACTCCGCACGTAACGTCCACAGCAGGTGAAGGAGACTCCCGTGTTCGGCATATTCCAGAACCAGCTGGAGCGGGCCTGGAATGAAATATCTTAGTATGGCTGCACAATTCAAGTACATGTCTTCATATTACGTAAACGTGAGTGCTGTGATTGCACGCAAACAAAAACATTCATGAGCCACAATGATTTTGAACTGACCGTCTCTAAAACAGATGCCTTTCAGCCCGATGACGTTGTCATGGTTACCGCACAACAACATGATGCAGGTTTCCCGCAGAAGGGCCTGTCTAGCTTGGGGGTCATCATCGTCTGGAGAAACATAAACATGATTAGGTAAACATCATATACTAGTATCCATGTACATTTATGTAGGAAAGTATGATCATAGCAATGCACTAGTTTGGGTGGAACAATGATAAATTTACCTTTGAGTTTTTTTACAGCAACCACCACATCGTCTTTATCAGGATGTATCATCGTTGCCTTGACGACATGTCCAAAAGCGCCCTCTCCCAGGAGTTGTTTGAGCTGCAGCCTGCTCCTGTCGATCTCCCTTTCATTCAGCAGCTCCATGTCGATACTGCCTGACGAGGAGCCTGCTGCAGGCGGCATCAGGGCCTGGGGAGAAGGGGGGGGGGTGTCAGGGATATTCAGGTCTAGCAAGACATATTTGGGCTTTCAAATTGTGTTACCTCATACGTCGTTGTGAGACTGACGTATCATGACGTACCTTGAGGTCCTGTCCGAGCTGGAAGACTTCCGGATCGTCGATGTTTCCGACCCGCAGCCTGTTGTTGTGCCTGTAGAGCAGGAAGATGGCGCCGAGTAGGAGGAGAATCAGCGCGCCTGCCGACAGACTGATGATGATCAGGAGCAGGGAGTCTGGTGGTTTTACACAAAGAAGTTATTTAAGTTTAAGCATGATACTTGACTTGCTTGACTTATGACGAGTCCTGGTGTCCCTGGAGTCGAGACAAAACGGCTGACCAACACTCCCTGTCTTCCATCACTTGGCCCAAAAAGTCCACCTCCAGGCCAGTGTCTCTCCTGAGGCAGTCTATGTAGGTTGCAGCCGGTCTGCCGGCCTTCCTCCTCCCATACTTGGGAGTCCACAGTACCAGCTCGGCCACAATCTCCTCTCTGCTCCTGTGACAGTGTCCTGCAAACCTAGGCCTCCTTGATCTGATTTTATCAGAGAGTCTCGGTAGGTCGGTGTGAAGATAAGCATGCTAAGGCAAAGTAAAGGCACCAGGAGGCGGTTTGAGAGTCTAAACAAGAGGGGCTGCTTAACCTTCAGTATGGTACAGTAAGGTAGTCATTTCACATCAAACGTCTTTTGGGTACGGGATTAGGCAGCATCGAGAACGTTAGAAATATGGTCTGAGCGTCTAGTTATTGTTTGTGCTATTCCTAGCGCTGTCGATTTTGGCTTTGTTCAGTATTACAGGGAACAGAAATGCTTAGAAATAGTATCTAAGCGTCCAGTTATTTGTGCGTCGTAACGATGGCGATTGTGGCTTCGTTCAATATTACAGAGGACGGAAATGTTTTCAGAGAAAGTCAGTAAAAGTAGCTTACCCGAGCACCCCTCGTACGGGATTAGATAGCATCGAGAACGTTAGAAATATGATCTAAGCGTCTAGGTATTGTGTGTGCTTTTCCTAGCGCTGTCGATTGTGGCTTTGTTCTAGAGTGTAAACGTCTAGTTATTGTGTGTGCTTTTCCTAACGCTGTCCATCGTGGCTTTGTTCTACAATGGTTCTACAAAGGCAGAAATATTTAGCCTGGTTATCAAACCTATTATAGCTCCCGAGTCCTACATCCTATTTGCGGAGAGGATGTAGGACTTGGGAGCTATAATAGGTTTGGTAACCAGGCTAAGAAATAGTAGCTTACCCGGACAGCCCTCCCCCTGACAGACGCAGCCCTGGAACCGATCGCAGGTCTCCTGGTCTGTACAGTTGCAGACTCGATCACACAGCGGACCCCAGTAATTCTCCTCACACACTGGAATGTGTCAACACAATATCCCGTTATAGCCATGTGTATACATGTAACGTTATACATATATATAGCATAACATATACATCAGGGCCCATCAACCTTCATTGAACCGCGACGGGGGCCGACATCGTCTATCAGATACCTTTGACCGAGTATTGACGTCACACTTCAAAGAAGCCACGTGACAAGCTTCACTGGGTCAGTCTACTGAGGAAGACCAGAGTGACTGGTCGAAAGCTCTAGGGGAGAGAACTTCTTTGTGTTGGATCTAACGTTTTAACTTTAAACATGTCACTACCAACACAGAACTTTCATGATAGTATAACGTTATGTATATAGTTAGTGTGTAAGCGTGTGTGTGTGCCCAACAAAGTGCTCAGGCCACGTATTGGACTCTTGCTTCTCACTGTCATTGTACAGAATTAGCAATACGTAAAAGCTGTAGCGTAAAGCATAAAGCCAGTATCCATACAAGTCCATACCTATCCGTATGTCCACCACGTCAGTGTATGTGTCTCCGCTGGGGGTAACACCCTCACAGGTCACGTGACCCTCGTGCTCAGGCGCCAGGGAGTTGATGTACAGAACAGAAGAGCTGTGAAGGGAGGAAATATTTTATCGTGTGAAATTCATAATTATTTCTTTGTTTTTGTGTGCTGCACTTTGTTTCAAAATTAGAAGCCACAAATCCGACATATTTTACCCATTCCTTCTGTCAGGTGATACTTAAGTCATTAATCAATGGTGTCATTCTATTTGACGAAGGCTGGAGTGACATGTACTAGCCATTAGTACAGTTTTGTATCACATCGTCACGTCGGCAACACTTTGATAAGAACAATTTCACGAAAGAAATCTCACGTCTTGCTTTTAGGCTGTAGGACTACAGAAGTACCACTCGGGAAGGACCACGTGATGTCGGTGACGTCAAGTTTGTAAGCCGTGCACGTGAGCTGCAGTTCCTGTCCGAACCGCAAGTCTGTCAATTCTCTTTCCGGAGGACTGATGTGCACTTCCGGGTTGTCTGGGGGTGACAAAAAATGGTTAAATGAAGGTAAGATTTATGGTTTGACAGTTTGACTGTTACAAAACTCAGGGAAACAAACGCGACATTAAAAAATGCAGTTTATTGGGCGACGTGTTTGCAACCTTGGAGTAGGCGTGCGTTTTTTTTTACCAAACTGTCCAGGCAGTACCCACCTGTGGTGCAGTTCCTTCCTGTCCAGCCAGGGGCGCACCTGCACGCTCCGTTGAAGCTGTGACATGCGGCCCCGTTATAACACTGGCAGCGCTCCGCACAGAACCGCCCGAACCGCCCGATGGGACACGCTGGAAAAACAACAGAAATAGGTCCATTCATTCTGAATATGTAAATATCAAGTTTTCAGTATCTCAAACACTACTTCGAGTCCAAATGGATTCCTTTTGACCTGCTCCCCTGGCGAATTTTTTCCCACCCTTTTCGACTTCCAAAAAACTGTCTTCACTTTATTTGCATATCAATCAATAGTTTGTGCTTATAAACCTGCTATTCTCATCTGGTCTCTCAGTCACTGACGAAAGCTAGTGGATAGTAGCTGAAACGTCTGACGTTTTCAAAATTATATCGAGTGCTTGAGTAACTGCTTTTTGGCGATTTTTCCACCCTATTTGACTAAATTATATTTTTATCCCATAAAGTCTGATGGAGAATAGCTATTTATGCAGTTCATTGGTCTGTCGCCAGGAACACTCTTACCTGTAACAAGGACTTTTGTCGTGAACGCCACAAGGCCGGTTATTTGGCATTCAACGGTGATCTCCTCTCCAACCTGCAACTATTGAAAACAGTTTTAACCGTAAGGATTGGGGTTGACTGTCTTCCTTTAATACATATATATATATATATATATATATATATATATATATATATATATATATATGTGTGTGTGTGTGTGTGTGTGTGTGTATGTGTATCTATATATATATATAGATAGATAGATATATAGATAGATAGATAGATAAATATAGATAGATAGATAGATAGATAGATAGATAGATAGATAGATAGATAGATAGATAGATAGATAGATAGATTGAAAATGTATGTAGCCCAAAAGATGCTGCAAGTGCTTCTGATATGTAAAAGAAAATAGGGTATCTCCAGTTTGCTTACCTTATCACCAGAAATGTCGTATATCAGGACTCCGTCAGTACTGTCGACACTCGGCCCGTCAAAATCTCTAGCCGCGACCCATGGCCAGTCATCAGGGGACCAATTTCTACACGGGTATACACAGAAGGTTATATGTTATATATGTGGATAGCATTTCGCGTTCATTACTTTCTCAACAAGATATGTTTGCCATGAAAGACGCAGATAAGCACACACAAACACGCACACACAGAGACATAAACACACATACATACATACACACACACACACACACAAACTCACAGACACACACAGACACACACACGCAAATACAGACACACAGACACACAGACACATACACACACACAGACACACACAGACACACACACACATACACACACACACAGAGACAAACACACACACAGACACACAGACACACACACAGACACACACAGACACACACACACAGACACACAAACACACATAGACACACAGACACACACACACACACACACACACACACACAAACACACACACACACACACACACACACACACACATACACACATAATCACACACACACAGATACACACACACATACTTACCACCGTTCCTGTTGCCGAAGTTGGTTTTGTAGCCGTATGGGAAGTAAAACGGATCATTTGGTGTTAGATCGAGTTCAAACTCAACTTGCACAAAATCCTGAAAAGCGAAGTAAAAAATACGCCATATGAGCATAGGTAATCAAATAGTGGAATCGTTAACTAACACAAGAAGATTGCAAAAGAATTTTCGACCAACCCGAATAATCTTCAACAACGCTTCCCAGCAGAAAGTCTTCATCGATATGAGTGTACTTATCTAATGATTACAAAATAAGAAAACAGTTGACAAGTGGAAAATAAACTCAAAATAAACATGTCCTTGCTGTAGTGTTATAACCAGTCAATTTCCCTGTTATCATGAATGTTCCGTTACCTCAGCTGTGGTGTGGTTGAAAACTGGTGTTGTTTGTGGGAGGAAAGTTTCCTCATTGAACTCTGGGACGTCGTCTGTAGAGGAAGTACAGAGACTGGTATTAGTGAAGATTCAACATTTGCTGGCATTCGCAGACTACAGATATTTCCTTCTTTTCTTTTCTAGCAAAGAAATACGGCGTGAATATTTAAGCAGACCCTTTATTCCTTTATATTCCAACATGTAATCACAAGACGTGGTGACGGCACACTCAAGTCTTTTAAACTTATATTGATGCCGCCAACAACACTCATTTTCACCGGTAGAGCGAAGTGAGGGAAGTCGTATAAAGTGCCTTTCTTAGGGCACAAGATCGGTTGCATGTCAGGACTCGAACCCGGGACCTCTTGGTTTCGAGTCGAGCACTCTACCGCTGCGTCACAGGGCCCCACCAATTAAGACCAATTAAGCAGGCCCTTAATTGGTGGCAGTGTAGGCCGAGTCATCACCTCTTACGTCGGTACTTTTACTTCAATCAACCACCAGTCAATTCAGTCAGTCAATTTTTCACTTGGAGAATTGTTCCATAATAATGATGATGAGTTGTACTCACTATTGTCTCTTGTGGTGAATGTTGTTGCATTCCAAAACGTGTTATTCCAAATCATGATTTGGAATGGACCACGTTTTGGAATGCAGCAGGCATTCCACATGTTGTATTCAAAATCATATGGCGCAGCTGGATCACGATTTGGAATGTTCTAAAACGTGACCGGCCATGCTGTCAATCACAAATGATTGACAGGAGTGGTGATTAATTATTCATTCCGAAGTTTCCATATTTGGTCCGTTGGCTGCCTGTATACAGATACTGTGTTAAATCACGTCGTGTTTACTTGTCTGAACATGTCGTCGAACTTAGCGTGCCAAAGGTATTAGTACGTTCGAGCTGTATGGGGAAAATGACGTCAATGAACAGTACGATAATGTTCTTGGTATGATGTTCCATAGTCTGGTTCTGGTCTGAGTTTATCTTCATCAGTGTGCGGTCCTAAATGGTCGGACGCTCGCGCATCCGTTTCTCATTATTTTCCCGCTAATAGAATCACGTGATAGTTGTTTATACATAGAAGAGAGAACGTAATTTATAGCAAGGAGCTTTCATTTATAGTTAAAACTTTTGATATTTAAGTGAAGTTTGTAAATATTTAGCATTACTTTGTGTCATTAAATTACGCAAATAAGCCTAATTTTGTAAGAATATGGTCTCCACGGCCCATATGGGATATCTAGCCACGATATGGAATATTCCGAAACGTGCTCCAGACATGTTTTGGAATATTCCATTTCATGTCCTTTCTCTAGGCACGTTATGGAATATTCCGAAACATGTTTCAGACACGAAATGGAATATTCCAAAACGTGCTTCAGACATGTGGGCTTGGGAAAGGGCTTCGACAACAACAGTTTGTGTGGAGTTGTTGAGTTTGAACATTTGTTGATGAATTTTTAGATTGTGAAAGGGATGGCCGCCACAGTTGCGTGTGAGCCATGCTTCGGTTACCGCCAGTACACGGCCGAAGCATAGTTGTGTGCGGTGTCCGACGGGCATGCCGTGACCAACCCCGAGGAGGTTTAGAAGGTCAAAATATAGAGGCCGACAGCATGGGCAAAAGCTACCAATTTGAAACTTTTGGGAAATATTTGACGTTAATCATGATTTAGATAGTTGACACAGGTATTCTAAAACGCGCGTGTGACATTTTGAGACTCCCATTTCATCATTAAAGTTTACACGTCTGACAGCCTGTAGCTATAATGGAACGCTAAGCGTTACAAAACATGCCCAGACACGTATCATTTAGCCACGCCCTCAGAAGTTCGAAGCTCCGCCCCCTAAGTACGAGGCTCCGCCCCCAGACACGTGATTACGAAAAGTCATGCTTTGGAATGCATCACGTTTTGGAATGCAACAGGCATTCCACTTCGTGTTATTCCAAATCATGTTTTGGAATGGACCACGTTTTGGAATGCAGGTGCATTCTATTCCAAATCATGATTTGGAATGGACCACGTTTTGGAATGCAACAAATGTCATGTTGAAGGACAGATAGGCTCGTCCACATTCAGTCAGTCAATTTTTCACTTAATTTTTCATAATAATAATAATAAGTTGCACTCACTATTGTCTCTTGTGGTGAATGTAATGTTGAACTCAGGTCTGTGTTGAGCCAGAGGATTACGGTTGTAGACGACATACATCTGATGGCCGGTACTGGCCGTGGACAGGTCTAACAAACGCCAGACGTCGTCGGAGTTAGTCGATGCTGCAATGTTAGAATCAGATGTGTCAAATTTGTGTATTTAAATGTTAATTTTACTTTTTTGTTGTGTGGCGCTGTTAATATAAGTTGTAAACTTGAGTGCTGCGTCACACTGTCCTTGTTATGTTTTCCATGTTTTGATGAATAAAAAAATGTTAGAATCGGCATTTAAAATGTGTGTGCGTACCTCCAACCATGAAGTACCTTGTTGTACATAGATGGATTCGGCACAAATCGTAGGATTTGTGTGAGGTCAACATGTATTATATGCAAAGCTGGATATGGGGGCGTTTCAATTCTGCCCCGGGAAAATTTTCTGGCGTATTTTGTACTAAAATGTATATTTTGGCATTACAGTTATTACTGCTATTACAGTTGAAGCAATGATGATGAAATTTCGCCCAAACATGCAACTTAGCGATTGCAACAATGCATACTCAGAGTTGACTACTCTATTCACTATTGTTCTTTCTTGAAAACATCATTTTAGGGGGTTATTTTTACCAAATCAATATGAAACTCACGTGTCTGGTCTCCACAGAACGAGTCGATAGTCCTGCTAGTTGCAGAGTTTCCGTCGTGAAACGTCAGAACGTCGGCGGTGCAGTTTTCCGAACCGCGCCGGTAACCTAAAGTGTCGAAATTGATCTGGAATAGACAATGGTATTTTGACTAAGGTTCGATACCATAACATGGTAATGTTAACATAAAATGGTGATGGTAGCATAAAATGACGTCATGCATATGTAAGAAATCCGTTGTCATGGCAACACAAAAAATGATATTGTCGCCAACAATATTTTAGGAAAAGTCACCAAGTTTGGTTGTCCTAGCGCAAGCCGTTTATCCGACATCAAAGTTAGCACGGCCCCCCCCCCTCCTCCAGATAGGGTAAAGTAACGGAGAAGAAAGCTGCAAATATACAAAAGTAACTCCCTCCTCTCTCAGGACTGGAACACCAGAGCTGAGACTTTCTCAGCACCGGAATTCTGAATGGACACTGGGCTGAATCATTGAAACGCTCACCAAAATGATCCTGTGTAGAAGAGTCGTGATGTCCCACTCGCAGTGGTCTGACGTCACATCCGTCTGGCTCATAATTTGGCCGCGCAGGTACAGGCGACCGAGCTGATATGTACATGCTAAGGACAATCACAAAATACAATTATGTTTTGCATAACGTGGGCTGAAATTGGATCATTACAGCACTAATTATATATGTATGTATAACATTATATGGGTTGCACATACAGTGTCATCTATGTGTATAGCACCCTGTATATGTACGATTTGGGGTATTTCTCGAAAAGCAACGAATGCTGAAGTAACTATGCCACCGCAGGGTCTATGACCCGATTAAGGCATCAAATTATTTCAACATGTGTAAGAAAAATGTCAGCAGGACAAAGGTCAGGCAAATTTGCATCACACAGTATCACTACCTGTGTAAAGTTAAAACTTTGGGTCCAACACAAAAACTTCTCTCACCTTGAGCTTTCGACCAGTCACTCTGGTCTTCTTTTAACATGTCACTACCAACACAGATGGACAGTCATGATAGTATCACTACATGTTCACGTGTACTCACCGCTCCTTGCCGGACGAAAGGTGTTCAGGCACAGCAGGAGGAACAGAACCACAGGGACGGTCACGTTCACGTTCATCTTGGGAACACGTGCCAAGTACAGGAGGGGCGTTCTCACGAGATAGGTACATCTGGGGTCGGACGGGCAAATGTTAGGTGGGACAGATACTTCCTTGTCATGCTAGAGACTGCTGTGGTGCTGCGTACCTGCGAAGCCGGTGTGTTACACCGATGGGTGATTACAACAGTTACTAATTAACAGATACAGATACAGAAGCCTGTACGTTACACTGAAGGGGAGTTATTCCGGCTGTACTTTGTACTAGGTACAGAATCTTCTCAGCATGGCGCCTAAAACTTCCCGGTCTGTTTTTAGCCCACTGAGTCCCAGGTACCCGCCTGGGGAACCCCCACACCTACACCTCCGGACCGTGTGTCAATAGCGCGGTGTTTATTTAAAGCCGGGCAAACAAAAGCCAGTCTCCAGCTCTGTTTGTGTGTATACCTGGTGTTGGGTTACCTTACCTGGCCGGCTGGGTTAATGCTGTTTTGTTATGCAAATTCCTTCTGTGTAGAGGAGTATATCGTAAAGCGTTTGGTTCTTCTGTACTCAAAGATATAAAATACTGACTGATTTAGTGAGAGTAGGAACTTCTTCATGCTTCTAAAGCCTTATTTGTCTTTGTATTCAAGAAGAAGCACATAAGAATACGGTCAAACTTAAACAATAACACGGAAAGGTACACATAGTTTCTGCGCTACAACAAGACTCGCATACCTCACACCTTAAACACCGTGGGGAGAAAACAGTTACTTAAGAAACCGGATAGGTTTTTTAAAAGTGTCAGACGTATCAGGTATACATATAGGATCCACTGATTTTAATCAGTGAATACCTGTTTATCCAGATACTATTGGTGTACAACTCCCCCCTCCCTCTCTCTCTCTC